ACTAATTAATTGAGCACTATTTCATCAATTTAATCTATTTAATTTGATCCGAATCAATTTTCAATTAAATTTCACCGTAAGCTCTAAAAATTACACTAATCACAATGGCGTAGTCAATTTTGGCTTCTATAGCCGATAAGGCCTTCAATTTAAATTCCAAAGTAGATAATCAAACAGATTTTTCTACGGTGAACAGATAGAAATTCAAAACCACATATATGCATATAAATGGTACTCAAAAATCATATCAAACACATAATCATATTCATAATAAAGATCAATTAGCATAATACGGAACAGGATTATCACATCCTGAGACTTTCACCCTCGCCAATTTTCAGAGCCATCAGGGAGTCTACCCTCTGTGGCTGCAACTTGTTTGTAACAAACTTGGCCACGAACATCTCAGCCAAGCCTTCCCAACTTTTCACAGATCTTTTCGACAACTTGTGCAACCAATCCGATACAATTTCCACAAAGGATGAGGGGAACATCTTACACAACAACTGCTCGTTTCCGTTATACAATGCCATTGAATTTAAATATAAACCAACATGGAAATTCGAGTCAGACTTACCATCATATATCTAGAACCTCGACATGTGGAACCTCTTTGGGACCTCGAACGCATCCAACTCTACCGATAACGGTGTCATCAGCTTGACTGGAGATGTAATCTTGATGTTGTGCCACTTCTTCTAGTAGTAGTCTCTCAAATCCTCCTTTGTTCGGCCGGGAGCTCGGCTATTGACAAATTTCAACCTTTTGGTGCACTGCTCCTAGCATCATTGTGTGTCCTTTTGGACTTCTCTTCATTCACTAAACCAAAACAGAGGTCCTTCACTTGGATATGCCGAGGCTCTTTGGCATAGGTTCCCTTGGTTCGTGGTGTCTTCTGCGACTTATCTCTTATTGACTTTACTCGCCCAACATCCCGTGAAAGGCCGATATGAGCACTCATTTTCCTTGTTATGCTGCACGACTACTGGGATTGTTTTTTGCCTTTATTTTTGGGCTTTAGTCTTGGCCACTGGTATTGGCGTATCCTGCAATGGGAACGATGGTTGCATCACGTTATTTTGCATTATGAAGTTGACAATCGATTGTAGGTCTGCCAACTTGTTTGCCATTCCTTTCATCTCGCCGTCCCTTCTAAGGCTATTCTTCCATACTTGGAGGTCGCTTTCGTTGTAATATTCATCTCGACCTATTTTCTTCGGGGTGTTACCCTCTTTGCCGACGTCCTTCTCCTCAAGATTCAGATCCTGTGCTCCTTCATTACGATTTTTCTCCCCGACGTTAAGATCTGTATGTTCGCCATGCTTATTATGGACGTCGTCTCCAATCTTTTCTTCTTGCCCATTTTTAACCATCTATTCTCCTTAAGTTCCCACAGACAGTGCCAAATTGTGGGTGTTGATTTCCGACCACACAACCAAAAATGAAAAATTCAGCTGGAAAGCACCGACGGAATAGATTAAGCCTAACAACCTGCACAAGAAGATGAGAATCTGGCAGTGGTTCATCCACCCGGGGGCACTCCAACGATCAAGTCAGTAATCAATATCTCTCCCATATAACAAATTGTGCTTAAACTCACAAATCACTACTCACAATATATCACATATACCTGAGACCCATGGGGGTGCCCTGCTTTTATAGCCAGTACTAACCTGATATCTTTAGAAGCCTAGCTTTAGTGGACTCAAGCTCAATGCTCATCCAGGTCCTTCAGCTACATAGAGATAAACTCTTATTGAGCCATATCTTTTATCTAGACTGAGATCTTCCCCTATTCTAGGACTCTTGTCCCTTATCTGCTTATCTCGGATTCTGGTATCTCTACAGACAACCTCGGCCTAGCCGAGATAATCTCGGCAACGTGACCAGGCTACGTGGCATCTCGGCTGATACTTCGGCATCACTTTAACCATGTGCTGTCATTCACAAAATACTTTCCCACGATAGTATAAATTATATTTGGCATTCTTGTATTTTTATCAAAATTTCACTTTAATCCGTAGAAGTAGGTGGTGTTTGATAAAGCTAAAAATTAAAGACTAAGTATTGAAAACTGAATGTTGAATTTTTTAAGTTGAAAAGCTGTTTGATAAAAGATTAAGTGCTGAATTAAAAATAAATTGTTTGATCTGTGTAAGATAAAATTTGAAATTTATTGTTTTTAAATTGTATATTTTAATTTTTATATTGTGATGGTGATGGTGATGGTGATGGTGGTGGAAGTGGTGGCAGTGGCGTGGTGGTGGTAGTAGTGATGATAGTAGTAGTAAAATGATGATGATACTCATGATAATAAGGACAATAGTAATGAAGGTGATGGAAATAGTGGTGGTGGGGACGGCGGCGGCATGATAGTGGTGGCGGTGGTAGTAATGGTAACGGTGACATAGTGGTGGTGGTAGTGATAGCAGTTGTGATGATGGTAATAATGGTGGTGACATGATGGTGGTGGTTGTGGTAGTGGTCGTGGTAGCAATAGCAATGACACAGTGGTAGTTGTGGCGGTGGCATGATAGTTATGGTAGCGGTGGTGGTAGTCAGTTTATAATAGTGTATATCGATATTTATGTTTAATATTTATAAATTCAGTTAAAATTAAGTAAATTTTATATAATTTAATTTTTTTAAGTTTTAGCATACATTTTAAGAGGTACTTAAAATTTTATGTGATATCAATTATAATTATTAAACAAATTTAATTGATTATCACTTAATTAATTTAATTTTAAAGGTTGAATCGTATTATCAAACATTCCGTACTTACGTACTTTCACCGAAAGCTTACTTTATCCAACTACTTATTCCTTTCATTCGTTTTCAAAATAGTGTTATACAATGATGTCTAAGACTATTTCCAACCTTGAGCCAAACCTGGCATCAAATTTAAAATTTGGTAAAAAAAGCATTTTTTCATGCTCTAACGGTTTCACCAAATTGATATCAAATCGAGATTTTACTAAACGTTTCACCAAAATGAGGACAGGCTCCGCATTTCACCAAAACACTGTGCATGACCGTTGGGGAGACCAACCGGTCGACCAGCCGGTTGACCGGCCGGTTGACCACTAAATGGTTCAAACAGTTCCAAAAAAAGGTTCAAACAGTTAAAAAAAAAATATTTTTTTCGCCTTACCGGTCGACCAGCCGGTCGACCACTAAACAGTTCAAACAGTTCAAAAAAATTGATTCAAACAGTTCAAAAAAAAAAAAATTCCTCTTACCGGTCGACCAGCCGGTCGACCAACTGGTTATCTCCGGAGCAGATTTGATAAAAAGTGAAGCGTTGGAGCCAGTGGTATCAAATTGAGGAAAACATAATTTTTTTCATCAAATTTGATGAAAAAAGAAGTTCAGGGTTGGAGATGCTCTAAATACAACTTAAACTCAAAATATAAAAACTTCACTATGAAAATCAAATAGGTGTAAAATACAGCGTATAAAAGTGAAATTTAGCTAAAGTATAAAAACAATATTTTGCTTAAAGGTCTTTTTTAAAAAAAAATAATTTCTATCCAATACCGATTTAATAACGTCGTATATTGAAGTTCAATCCGAACCGAAAAAAGATGTAGGGGACAACCTTCGGGGAATTGGAACTGTTGGACAAAATATGGTTTGTCATTAGGGATTTGGAGGGATTGTTGTGCCGTCGTATTTTGTGTGGTTTATTTGGATTATATTTTGATAATTCAAGTTATTCATATTATTTATATAAAAAATAAATTTAATTGAATAAGTATAATCCCGTGATGAACGCGAATGATAATCTTAAAAAATTATTAAAATTATACTAACCGTTTATTTTTTTAAACGTAAACTTGGTTATGTTGTGGGTTACAAATGTTTAATTAATTTGAATTTTTTCATGAATATTCTTAACAAACTTTACACTATGAACGATTCGAATTATTAAAATAAATTTGAGACACACTTTAAACAATACGGTGTTGTGCTTATTATGAATAGCACCTATCCCAAATCCATTATGGATTCTAGGCCTTATTTGTAATATTTGTCCCTCATTTTATTTGCTTGATGGTCAGAGGATCTTAATGCCACATTTTAATCATCTCACACGAAAGTCGATCATAAATTACTAAATGATTGTTATTAGATCTTATTTGTAATATTTGTCCCTCATTTTATTTTCTTAATGGTTAGAGGATCTTTAACGGTACATTTTAACCATCAAATCTAAAAAAGACAACAAGACTACAAAATTCAATTTAACATTGATAGGTAATGTATTTAATGAAGTTTTAGTTTTATATCACTGCTCTTTATAAAAAAGCAAAAAAAAAAAGAAAAAATATCACATAAATGGATATTTTAAACAATAATTATAAATCAGTAATAAATTTTATAAATATTAATAACTAAAATTATAATTTTTTCATAAATTAATAATTATTTTTTGAAATACCAGATTTATAATTTCCCAAAAAATATATATAATTTTTGCTATTTAAAAAAAAGAAAAAACCACCTTAGGTGGACTAACAAGGGTTCGATGGGCTTGGGCCCGTCACACTGGCGGGTTGAGGACAAGGTGGTCATATCAAATTCTCAAGTGGATATTTTTGTAATTTAAAGAGTGAAACCAAACCTAGGGTTTGGCTATATATTCAAGACTGCCCTCTACACTCCCCTCCTTTGTGCAGAAGACGCAGCATAGGAGTTCTTGTCTGCAACAATGGTGAGAAATAGCTCCCCCAAACTCTTCTCATTTCTATAAACATCGTCTTCTATATCATTTCTGTATCTGTTTGTTGCACACGCATGCCTGTGTAAGCTTAAAGCTTGTTTATTTATCGAGAAAATGTTGTAAAGGAATAGAAAAGGAAGGAGCTCACGAGCTTCATGTATGTATGTAAAGATATAAGCTTTTTGGAGTTTTCTTTGCAGCCGAACATTGGGTTTGAGATTTCATTCGTTCATCTTATTTCACTTGCAAGATTGATTTGTGTCACTCTATACCTGTTATTTTCTAGATCTGGGTTTCTAAATTATCATTTTATTACATTTACTGTGTTAGGCATTCTTAGCGAGTTTTATTACATTTACTGTTTTGGCCATTGTTTAATGGGTTATTTGGTTTTTTGGGTGTTATCTTTTTAGGTGTTTGTGAAAGCTCAGAAGTCTAGGGCGTACTTCAAGCGGTTTCAGGTGAAGTTCAAGAGAAGGAGAGGTATGGTGTTTGCACTTCCTGTATAATTTAATGGGTTTAGATTTTGTTGGTTTCTTTCTTATGGTATTTTCTTTTGAATATCTACAGAGGGAAAGACAGATTACCGGGCCAGGATTCGCCTCATCAATCAGGACAAAAACAAGTATAACACCCCCAAATATCGCTTTGTCGTGCGATTTGTATCCATTAGTCTGACTATATTTCAATATAATTTGTGGAAGCTTGCATTTTCAAATATTTTCTAGTTCAGGATAACATCTTGCAAATGCTTTTGTTAGTTTTCTTATTATTTATTATTTATTTAAATCATGACATGTTATGCATGGAATTTGTCTTATTGTCTTGTTAAGCGCATATTCATTTGTTGTTGAACCCAAAACACTAGAAATGCTTAACCTTTGAGAATCTATGTGAATAACCTTTTGTTGACATAATGGAATAAGGATGATCATATTGTCCATGCTGCATCCTTAATATCCTTATTAGACAAACAAGGATATTATTGCACAAATAATATCCGCTAGCATTGCTGGTGATATGGTCCTTGCTTCAGCATATGCCCATGAGCTGCCTCGCTATGGACTCGATGTAGGTCTCACAAATTATGCTGCTGGTATTGTAACTACTCTTTGCTCTCCTCCCATTTCCTCTTCATCTCTCCCCATGTCTTTCGGTCCATGGCTGCTTGCTTCTATCTGCAATTTTGATTCGTGTAACTGATGTTGGCAGCTTACTGTACCGGATTGCTCTTGGCCCGCCGTGTCTTGAAAAAGCTCGAGATGGATGATGAGTATGAGGGCAATGTGGAGGTATGCCTGATTCAGGTTTAGCATTTATAGTATCCTTTTCCTCTTTTGCATTGTTAGATTTAATGTACATATGAACTTCTATATTGTTAGGCAACTGGAGAGGATTTCTCAGTTGAGCCAGCAGAGAGTAGGAGGCCATTTCGTGCTCTCCTGGATGTTGGCCTTATTAGAACCACCACTGGCAACCGTGTCTTTGGTGCTCTGAAGGTATTTCCATGCACACATCTTACAATAAACAATTATACTATTTGAACTTATTACTAGAATGAGATGCTCCATATGTTCTTATTTTTCATGACATGCAGACAATTTGATGGTTGGTATATATATATTTTTTGATATTTTACCAATTTTGTTTGTTTGTTTGTTTGTGATATGAATACTGTGTAATTGTAACATCATTTTTTTGACACTGAGTCTGCTATGCAAGTGGGAGATATTATTTCATAGGGTTACATTTTACCCCCTTATAGTTTGAGGGACGAATTCGTACACTATGAAAGATATGGAGTGGATGGCGTATAAGTGCCACCACTGTATGGTGTTTAGTCATCTCGCTGCTCCTTGCTTTGCTACTTCATGTAGTGCCGCTGTAGGCTCCCCACCTTCAACACCTTTGAGATCTTTGGTCTAGGCCTGATTTTGCGAGAGTTCGGGTGAAAAACGAAGGAGAGAATACAAAGACTGAGGCCACATCTAGAAAGCAGGACAGAAGAGATATAAAAATAGGGAGCTTCTAGCCCAAAAACCTTTTAAGAAAGATATCGATTAACTGATTGCGACATAACTACAGTAATTGGGTAAAGGTTGGTTGTAGATCATGCAAGAAAAGAATAAGCTGCTAAGCCTTAACTCGAACTTTCGAATGCATCTATTGATGATGAACCAAGTGGGACATCTAAATGGGTGTTTGGGAAGTTGCTATTTTAGTTGGCTATTTTAGTTTTTGGCTATTTTAGTGGACTAAAATTTTTATGTTTGGGAAGATGATTGGATTTTTTTGTAGTTAGATGTGATGTTTGTGAGAGAAAAAGTGAAATGATTATGGATTAGATGTGACATTTTTCTTATTAGCTATTTTAGCTTATTTTGTCTTTTTGTGAATTTTAACCTAAAAAAAGGCTAAAATTTTTCTTGCCAAACACTCCCTAAGTCTTTTGCTTGAAGATGAGAAGATCATTAGTACCTCGGACTTGTTATTCCCACCCACCCAATCTACTTCAAAAACACATTACTCCCTTATGGTCTAAAAAATATACACTTGACCTCCCTCTGATATGGAGTTAAATGTAAAAGTTATGAATTTTGTCTGTTAACAGTGCGTGTATCACACGCACTAAATTAAGCGTGTGTCAGATTTAGAACTAGAAAATGACATTTTTGCCCTCTGTTTTTTCTTTTTCTTTTCTTTTATTCTTCTTTCTTCCTCCAGCAGTACAGCTGCAACCGAACCTATATCCACTATCCTTTTCGCCAGTACACATTATCTCCACCCTCTCATCTCCCTTTCTTTCTGGCTCACCTCCTTGAACAATTCACAACCACCACTTCACTGCAGCACACAAATAACACTCATTAAAATGGATGTTAATTTGGAATAATTTTTTATTCTTCATAGAGATCATAACATATTGAGGCCATTTCCAGTGCTTTCATAATCAAATTAAACATTTTCGTTATTTAATTTGTGCCCACTGTTAAAGACTCTTTCATTAGCCACAAATGCCCATTATTATATTCCCAAACCTGCAATGATTTGCCCTGCATACAATGAAATACGCATATAAATATACCAGTTGGTCTTCACGGTGGTAGTGAACTGAAAGAGAGGGATGAGCCATGGTTTCTAGATGTGTACGTATATATCTATATATATATATATGTGTGTGTGTGTGTGTGGGTGGGTCTGTATAGTTAGTTTAGTCCAGAAAATGATGATTGCTTCCATAAAAAAAAATAAAGATTAAAAAAAGAAGATAGAAGGCAGCTAGTCGGAGGAATGGAGTGGGTGGTCTACTGGAGCATGCACCTGCTGTAGTGTTGCCATGGGACGAGGAGTGGGAATAAGAAGAAGAGAATGAGAAAAAGAAAAAAAAATGAAGAGAAAAAAATAGGGGAGCTTGATTCATGAGGGCATAAAAAAGAAAATTAGAGCAAACAATAAGGGTATTATAGACATTACACAACATTTATTAGCAGAGTTGGACCTTACAACCGACTGTATACCCATAAGTAGGAGTGGCAACGGGCTGGGGCGGGGGCGAGAATCACACTCCCCGTCCTCGATCCCCGATGGTAGAAATTTTCCCGTCCCCGGCCCCGATCCCCAACGGGGAGCCTATCACCGCCCCCGTCCCCTAACGGGGGATCAGGTTTCCCCGACCCTGAAAATTTCGCAGCCAAAATAATAAAAATAACATATATATTCAACAATAGATTTTAGTATATATATTCATCAACAACATCATCATCAACAGATCTGAGCATATATATTCATTAAATGTAAAAAATAAAAAATCTAACACATTCAACAGATCATCATTTTCTTCATCTTCATCTTCATCAACGACAGATCTGAGCTCAGATGGACAGAGGATGGAGATCAACGGCCACGGATCAGATCCTTCGACGGATGTGGTCTGATCTAATTTATGGTTGCTTTTTTTTAATCTGATCTATGGTTCAGATCCTTCGCCGGAGACCATCGGCGAGATCCTTTTGACTCTCATCGTCCCTCGGAGGGAGGGAGATCGTCGTGAGGGAAGGGTTTGGGAGAGAGAAAGAGAATAAGAGTGAGATGAGACTGAGAGAGGTGAGCTGAGGGTTTGGTTTAATCTTCCATTACGATGTTGGAAAAAGAAAAAGTCAATGAAGAAGATTCATTATATTTGAATCGAACAAATGGACATAGATCTAAATCTATAATCAATCAATGCGTACCTGTGTAAAAGCATATATTTGAAAATTGTGAGAGAGAGAGAGAGAGAGAGATCAAAGCTAGTTGAGAATCTGTTTGTATATATTATATAGGGGGATATAGAGGGGGTAAAATAATAATTTCACTTCAGGGACAGACGGGGATGGGGACGGGGACGGGTACGGGGTTGGAACACTTATCCCCGTCCCCTCCCCGAAACTGATCGGGGATTGATTTTTGAATACTATCCCCACGCCATTGGGGATATTTTTCGGGAAAAAATCGCTTAAATCGGGGTCGGGTCCTCGTCGGGTAGGGTTCAAATTGCCATCCCTACCCATAAGGAGGTTATGTGTATATTTCTTAACTATAAGGGGCTAATGTGTTTTTGAGTTAAACTATATGGGGGTAAAGTGTAATTAATCCTAGTTCATAGCACCTTATTTTGACACTCTGATTTGCAAATTTTGCAAAATCGATACGAATCTATGGGTGAATTTATTAGTGATTCACAATCGATTAACGATTCGATTTACATTTTACATTTATCCAATTCTTGAAACTATCGTGTCCAACACATTTTCAGCTATTTTTTCCCCATCTTTGTAGTGAAAATGACATAATACAACTTCTAGTAGTGTTTAGTACCAAAATAATCAATACATTGTTATTATAGTGATCATGGAGTTTTTAATAGGATCTAATCAGATCTAGTCAGACACTCTATGTTTTTAATCTTTCTTCTCATTTTTCCCCTTTAAAAATCATAATATATCTGCTTTAAGATTAAAGTAACTTACATAATGAATTATCTATTGCTAAAACCAAACCAAACTAAGCCAAGCCTTAAGTTTCATCAAATGGGGTTAGCTACATGAATTCTTCTTTTCCTTGCGGCCCTATCAAAGGCCATTTCGTTAGTCAAATTAAGTAGATCCATATCTCTATTTACAACGCTAACCAACGTTAATCTAGACCTATCCCGTCCCCTAATACTTTCGTCTACCGTTACAGTATCGCATCTCTTCACTACTGCCTCTGTTGGTTTTTGTTGAATATGATCAAACCATCTCAATCGATTCTCTTTCAACTTATCTTCTATCGGTGCTATTCCTACCCATTCCCGAATACACTCATTCCTAATTTTGTCTTGTCTAGCCTTGCCACACATCCACCTTAGCATTCTCATCTCAGCCACTCATCTTATCTACATGTTGTTTCTTGGTTGCCAAAACTCCGTCCCATACAATATCGTTGGTCTAATAGCCGTCCTATAGAACTTACCTGTAAGTCTAGTGGGTATTCGTTTATCGCACAGTATCCCAGACACACTTCTTCACTTATACCATTCTGCCTTAATTCTATGAGCCAAATCCGCGTCAATCTCCCCAGCTGTTGTGATAATCGACCATAAATAACGAAAATGTTCACTCTTAGGCTGTTCTTGGTTCTCAATCTTCACTTCTCCTCTGCTTTCATTGTTACTGTTACTAAATTTATACTCCATGTGTTATGTCATAGTTCTGCTTATCCGGAATCCTTTAAATTCAAGAGCTTTTTTTCAAATCTCCAATTTTGTATTAACTCCTTCTCTAGTCTCATCCACTAGCACTATATTGTCTGCAAAAAGCATACACCATGACATGTCATTTTGGATATTTCTCGTCAACTCATCCATAAATAAAACAAAAAGATAAGGACTTAAGGTAAATCCTTGGTGGAATCATACAGTGATAGAAAATTCATTTCTCTCTAGCAGACGATCTAATAGTGGTCACCACTCCTTCATATATGTCCCTAATCACATCAATGTAACCTTTCGTCACTCTTTTCTTCGCTAACACCCAATGTTTTTAAAGGCGAAAGCGCAAGGCGAGGCGTTTTACCCTTGTTGAGGCGAGGCGTAAGCCTCGAGGCGTTGAGGCGTAAGCTTTTTGAATTTTGATTTTTTTAATTTTTATAAAATGCAAAATTAATTAAATATAGCATAAAAAGAGGAAAAAAAAAAAGAATTGCCAAATAAAATTTTTAAAGGCCATTCTAAGCATATAACCAAAATTAATTAATTATTTCAAGTATTATAAGTGCTTTCTAAGTCATTCTGATTAATACTATAATAAAAAAATAACTTAAGTCATGGTCAAAAACTTAAATTCCAATTGTTCAACAAACAAAATAATTTAAGACTCTAATACTCTATGAACAAAGCAATAAATAAATAATAGGTCACTCTAAGTCATCCTCATTAATATTGTCATCATTTTCGTCCGTTATATCTATAATGGGATAA